CTCAATCAGTAGTTAACCTGATCAGCATTAGATAGATCATCTGCCACCCGCTAAAGGAAAGCAACCCTGTAATTACCAACCAGCTTTTTGTGTAGTAGAATTTCCTTGTTGCCTTGTTCCTGCTCCCTTCAGCCTATGAAGGTCTTTCACTTGTACAGCATCTCAGAGCTCCTTTCTATCTGCTGGATGGGATGTCGCCTGATTCATGAATCATTGAATAAAGCCAATAAGGTCTTTAACATTTATTTTGTTTAACAGACTGAGGGAGCAAAAACGTGAACTATATGCATTTCCAGGAAAAGGGTAGCAGGGCACAAGTTGTTCTCTCTCTCTCCCTTCTCTCTCTCTCTCTCCCTCCAGCTCCCCCTTTTGACATGCAACCCCTTGTTCTCTCCTCTGAGACCCTCACTGGCCACAGCTCAGCCTTATTTCATCACAGCACTCCCCCTCAAACTCTGGACCCCCTTCTGATTCAATCCCTGACATTGTGCCCTCAGCCCCACCCAGACCCCTGCCCAGGGATCCCACTTCTCCCAGCACCCACCCCTCTGGCCTCACAACCCCAGCGACCCCTCTGTGTCCCTCTGGGGAACTGTCAGCCCTTCCACACAAATTTCAAGCCTGGTTCCAGTCTCTCTGTCCCCAACCCCCACATAGGTAGGAGTGCCATGATAGGAAACTTCTATGAATAAGAATAAATAAGAATAAGAGCAGTCAACACAGATGGGCTCGCTACCAGCTGCCACTGCTCTGAGCACTAAATGCCCTGGGTTTCCACAACCCAGAGCCTCAGGTCCCAGCCACTGTTGTCTCTGGTCTGGTCAGAGGAGCATTAGCCTCCTCTCTGCTTATTCTTTTTTATTTATTTATTTTTAAAGGTCGCATTTATTTGTTTAACAGAGAGAGCCAGAGAGTACAGGCAGGAGGAACAGCAGAGAAAGGCGATGGATCCCAGGACCTGAGCCAAAGGTGGACACTTAACTGACTGAGCCACCCAGGTGCCCCTCCTCTCTGCTTATTCTTTTTTCCTTCCTCCAGTCCATTCTTCACACATAATTTAGAGATTTCCTTCTAAAACATAGCTTAGATCACATCACTCTCTTGTGGGAAAGTCCAGGGGCCTGCCCTCACATATAGTGCACTGGCAGCTCCACACCCCCTCATCCTCATCCTCTGACCTTAACTCTCTGCTCTCCCTCCTATTCACAGCATGTCATCCATCCTGGTTCCTTCTCTTTCATCAGGCACACCCTGCCTGGGACCTCTGCTTCTGTCTGGAACACCCTGACCCTGATCTGCAGCCTTTCTTGGTCATTCAGGTCCTGGCATAAACACCAGCTCCTCCAAGGAAGTGTCTTCCCAGGCTGCTTTGTCTCCTCACTGCCACCTCTGCCTCCAGAATTCTTGGCCCCATCACTCCTGTTTGCTTCAAATCCTGTATTATTATTTCTGAGTGTACGTTGTTTCTATTTCTAAACTTCTTCATGCACCTGCCTTTGTTCACAGCTGTTTCCCCGACTCCTAGAACAGTACATGGTCCGGATCTAGAGCTCAGTGAATGTTTTTGAATTAATGAATGAACAAACAGCTGAATTTAATTCTCACACAAGCCCCCCAATCCATTTCAGTGATTCTTAATTGTGACTGCACATTAAGATCTCTTGGGGAACCTCAGAAAAATTGATGCTGAAACCCAAACACACTAGATTCTAATTTCATTCATCTGTCTGAGTGAGTCTGGGCATCTTTTTTTAAGGCCCCTTTGGTAATAATACTAATGTGTAGCCATCTACGCAGTGAAACACACTTAAATTTGTAACAGCCTTGGCAGAAGGAAGGTGGCCAGGACAGGGCCGGGTGGTCAGAATTGCCAGTTTCAAGCCCATACCTGCAGGAAGCCTGGTTATTCTCAGCCTGCTGGGGCCAAGCTGGGCAGCAAACTCAGGTTGTGGCCTGGAGAACAGGCTCCTGGCTTCCCTTTGTGACAGAGTAGGTTGTGACTTGTAGGCTGCTGAGTGTTCTAAAGAAATCCAGAGGCAGAAATAAAGTCCCTTCCTGGACACACTGGGACTGTACCAGCCTGAGCAGCAGTGTTCCAAGTTCTGGGATTCTGGAGGACCAGGATGACCTTGGAGAAGAATGGCCATTGTTGGGTAAGAAGACCTTGCCCTGCCCTTGCTGAGAGGAGGCTGCCCATGGACAGAGGCGGGGTTGGGGTTCACGGGGAGCACGAGAAATAAAACACACCCTGGGATGCCAAGAGTGGCACATGGGGGGCCTGAACTCAGTGCCTAAACATTGGAATTTGAATCCCAGCTCTGTCCCTAAATAGCTGTGTGGCCTTGGGCATGTCACTTACCCTTTCGGAGGCTCGGTTTTCTCACATGTAAAATGTCATAGAACTCGCAGGGCTATTAAAGGGTTAGATGAGCTGACATGAGCAAAGTGAGCTGCAAGGTACCCGGAGGGCAGAAAGCTGGCCCTCATCCGACCTCCTAGCGTCTGTCCCACTTCCTGTTCTAGCCACACTGGCCTTCTTGTCATTCCTCCAATATGATGATCACATTCTTATCTCAGGGGCATTTGTAGTTTCTTCTGCTGACAGCACTTCACTCGGCTGTATTCAGGTTCTCTCTTATCTCCTGCAAGTCTTTGCTCAAACACCTCCTCCTCAGCCTGGGTCTTTCAGATCACTCTGTTTAAAACCATTCATTAACTTCCCCCAACCCACTCTCAGGTACTTTCTAGGCCTTCTTTTCTTCCTAGGACTAATCACCTTCTAAATTTCCTATAATTTACTTTGCATAGCAGGTAACAGGTACTCTAAAACGTTTCTTGAATGACTAAATAAAAGGCAGTTATTGTCATTATTTGCATCATCATTTTTGTCAGGTTGCAGCCCCCAAGTTTTGTGCTGCCTGATTCTTATCATTGATGGATAGCAGTGATGTTGAGATCAGGTTGCCTGAAGAGCAGGCCCTCTGTCCATCTGCCTCCCTCAGAGTAAAGATTGTATCTTTGGATCTGGCTGCAGATTTACAGATGAGAATGATTGCCCGGGACCCAGTAGAGGTCTGAGGAAATGGAATTTGAAGGCCAAGGAGATGATTCTCTGGCCATGCTTGGCAGGGAGGGAGAGGAGCTGCCTCTATGGAAATAGGCCACCCTGGCCTGGCCAGAAAATGAGCCTGAGCCACAGGAGAATAAAACACAGTGGAGGATCAACACCCCGTGTGATGCTAGCTACCGCAAAGCCAGGTAGCTGGCATGTCAGCACCTACTCCCAGAGGCACCCAGAGCACTTCCTCCATCCCTAGAATCCAGTTCCAGGGGTGGGTAAGGAAGGTGCTCTGAAGAGTAAGTGAGCCTGGAGTTCCCGTAGATCCTGGATACCGGAAACTTCTACCAGCTTGGATGTGATTCTGGGAAAAAACAAAAAAACGAACTTTTACCAAAAAGGCCAGCGGTTAATTTTTACTTGCTACACATAGCAACATCTGGCAGATAGAAAATGTTCACTAAATATTAGTTCTCATTTACTCGTCCTTGGCTCAACAAATATTTACTGAACACTTACTACATGGCAGGGTACTGTTTTAAGTCCTGAGGATACAGCTGTACCGAAAAATCTAAAGTCTCTATCCTTGTGGAGTTTATTTTCTAGTGTACATGTGTCGTAAGGGAGGTGACAGGTGACACAGTGAATAAATAGAAAATATTGAACTGCAAGTTTGAGAGGTGATGGTTGTATTAACTAACTGCTGTAGCCATTTATGTAATATACAAATTGTATACCTTAAATATATAGGATTTTATTTTTTTAAGATTTTATTTTTATTTATTTGACAGAGAGAGCATAAGCAGGGGGAGCAGCAGGCAGAAGGAGAGGGAGAAGCAGACTCCCCTCTGAGCAGGGAGTCCAATGAGGGGCTCAATCCCAGGACCCTGAGATCATGACCTGAGCCAAAGGCAGATGCTTAACCGAGTGAGCCACCCAGGTACCCCAAATGTATTGAATTTTATCTGTCAATCATACCACAATAATATTGGAAAAAATATATATATTTACAAAATACATTGAATGTTAGAAAGTGATGAACTCTAAGGAGGAAAATCAAGTAGTGAAGGGAGGGTGGGAAGTGTCAGATGAGAGAGGATTCTAGTTGGGGTTAGCGCTGTGGCCCAAGGCACAGTGAGCAGGGCCTGTGTGTGAGTGGTGACGTAAGGCAGTGAACCATGTTGCAGCAACTTCCTGGCAGAGAAACCAAGGAGCACAAAGGCTTGAAGCAGCACTGACTGGGGCCAGCGCACATGGGCACCAAGGACCATTCATAATCAGGTGAAAACCAATAATAATAAGTCAGTGTTATAACTCTGGTTGCTTGAAATTGGCCATGCCACCATGGGAACACTTAACCGCAGATATTGGCAAATACTGCGAAACAGGATCTTTTTTAAAAAGCTATTGTTCTCAGGGATTCAGCTTGCCAAGTGGCAGAGAGAACAAACAACAGGTGGACCAGTGTGGCTGGAGCAGAACTAGCAAGGGGTAGGAGTAGAGAGCCAGGAAATCATGTGGAGCCTTGCATATTGCTCTTGGAGCTTTGGCTTGGATTCTGAGCCATGCAGGGAGTCATAGCAGGCTTACCTCGCCTCTCAAAAAAAAGCTGTATTTAGTTTTAATTTTACATACCACAAATTCATTCGAGTATGCCATTATTATTAGTAGCAACAGTAGTAGTAGTAATGCATTTACAGATTTGTGCAGCCATGATCACAGTCCAGATTTAAAACATTTCTATCCCCTCAAAGAGATCCGTTGTGCCCATATGCAGCCATTCCTTGTTTACATACTCAGCTCCAGGCAACAACTTCTAATCCACTTTAGATCTCTATGCATTGGAGGGTTTGGTGCAGAAAAGGAACATGGTTAACTAATACTATTGTTACTATTGTATCCTATCTGCTAAAACGTAATGAAGTTCCTGTTTTCTTTTTAGATGAGGTGGCGACCTGAATTTTCTGGGAAGACATCCAGAGCCACTGGGAGCTGTGAGAGGGCCACTCTCACTGGCTCAAAATGAGCTGGCCAGTTGAAACCGCTGTGTCCGCTGCTGGCTTCGGGCTCTGCTCTCTCTTAGTTGCATTTTGGGCCAAAGCTCCCTGTGGGAGGCTGAATCAGCAAATTGCCTTCTCCAGTGTCCTGGAGGTAGCTAACGGTTTAAGCCCTGTGTTTAGTTGAAACAACGTTGGAGCCCTTTCACATTTCTTGGGTTCAAGAACAAGGTAAGATAGAAATCTTTCAAGGACAGGTGTCAGCTGCCTCTGAGGCAGCTACTTCAACCAAGAAGAGGCATGCCTAAAATGGCCTGGGTTTGGAAGGGATGCCAGGGGACTCTAATTATCAGCTGTCAAGGGGTAGAGGAATCCAAGGGAGGGAGGCAGAGGAAAAGGCTTGGGGCAGAGCGGAAAGGAGCGGGGAGTAGGGAGAGGGTCAGAGAAGGGGAGTCTGAGGCCACAGGGCTGGGAGCTACAACAGAGGCTGGGGCCTAGGCCTTTCTGGTAGGTGAGCCCTTAAGTCATTTGTCCTCTTCAAACCTGACTTTTTGTGTATCTGTAAAACAGAAACAATACCATTTATATCATAGAGTTGTCATAAGGATTAAAGGAAATAACCTCTGCAAGGTACCTTCCAAATGCTTGGTACACAGTATTAAGCCTTCTGTGAATGGCAATTATTATTGTTTATCTTGTTATTGTGACACATTCTTATTGTTGGTTATTGTCTTAGTCTGTTTGGCCAGCTGTGGTTTAAACAACATTTATATCTCACAGTTCCAGAGATTGCAAAGTCCAAGGTCAAATTGCAGCAGGCAGATTCTGTGTTTGGTGAGAACCCGCTTCTGGTTCACAGATGCCCGTCTTTTTGCTTTGTCCTCACCAGGCGGAAGGGGCAAGGGAGCTCTCTGAGGTCTCAGGATCTGATCACCTCCCAAAGGCCCCCACCTCCTGCTATAATCACAACGGGGGTTAGGATTTAATAAAAGAATCCGGGGGAAGTTCAAAGTCTTTAATCTCTGGCAGTTACATTACCATATTCTGTTGTTATTATTATGACCAAGAGGAATTTGGTAGAAAGAACTTGCATCTATGGATGCAGCCTGTAGACTGCTTCTCTTGGGCTCCTGTGGAAGTGCAAGGCCTAATTCCACAGGTCTAGGGTGGGGTTTGAGGTTCTGTAGTCAACACAAGCTCCCAAGTGATGCTAATGCTGCTTGTTGTACCATAGACCAGACTTTGAATAGCAAGACATTGAAACTGCTCTGTCCAATATGGTAGCCACTAGCCACCTGTTGAGCCTTTGAAATGTGGCTAGTCTAAACTGAGGTATGCTTATAAGGGAAAAATACATGTTGGATTGTGGGGACTTAGAACCAAAAAGATAAAAAATAAAAAGAATGTAAAATATCTCTTAGGTAATTTCTTTTTACCTTGATTATATGTTGAAATTATAGGAGTTAGCCAGTGCTAACAGAGAAGAAAGGCAAAGCTGAAATAAAAAGGAAACATTTATTTGAGGTCTCAGAATTGTGATTCAGAAAACACAGATTTGGGCAGCAATCCAAATAATGCCACCACCACCCACCCCCACCACCCCTACTCCAGGGAACAAAAACCAAGTTTTTTTGATAAGTTTTTCTTTTTTAAGAGAGAAGGGAGGGGGGCAGTGGGAGAAAGAGAGGGAGAATCTTTAGGAGGCTCTATGTTCAGCACAGAGCCACTGCAGGGCCACTGTGGGGCCAAAGGCAGGGCTCAAGGCAGGGCTCGATCTCACGACCCTAAGATCATGACCTGAGCTGAAATACTGTAGAAAGTTGCAGGTACTCAGGCTGAATCCTTGGAATATTTGTGGTTTGGCTCAGTTTAAAAGCTCATGGTTCTACCAGTGAGGACGTGCATAAGGCCCACCACCTTCATGGATGGCCTCCAGGTTCATTTTGAATTTATATTTTTAGATTTTATTTATTTGACAGAGAGAGAGAGAGGTTGAAACAGCATGAACAGGGTTAGGGGCAGAGGGAGAGGAAGAGAGAGAAACAGACTCCCCAATAAGTGGGGAACCCAACGTGAGACGTGGATCTCAGGGTCCTGGGATCATGACTTGAGCTGAAGGCAGGTGTTTAACTGACTGAGCCACCCAGGCGCCCCCTCCAGGCTCATTTTAAAACCCCTTGACATGCATGACCCCATTTTATTTCACCTTTCATACTAGTTAAGTAAAATATTATTATAATTCATTTCACCTTTTTTTTTTGAATGAAGCTACTAGAAAAATTGTACATTATGGGTGTGGCTTACATTATATTATTGGGAAGACTTGAGAAGTTGGCTCTTGAGTTACTGACCTCAGACCCACAGAGATCCACAGGGAGTGAGAGGTTGAAGGGATGGATCTCAGGCTCAGGGAGATGGAATGACTAAAATCACATGATAGAATTAAGACTAATGCCCAAGACTGTGTTTACAAATCAGTGTGTACTATAGTCACCATCATGGCTGCCACAGATTTTGCCACAAAGCCCAGAATTCAGGATTGTGTTATTTCTCTTCCCTTTGGTGACAGGCTACACAATAACATGATGCCATGGCTAAGAGGACGGGTACTCTGGGTGCTGAGGAATGCCCGGGGATTCTGTGGGCCTCGTGGGCAACAAGCACCTCTACCAGACCCTCAGAAGCTTGTGGCCACCTGGGAAGCCATCAGCCTGGGGAGGCAGCCAGTGCCTGAGTACTTCAACTTTGCCCATGATGTGCTGGACATGTGGAGTCAGCTGGAAAAGGTGAGGCCCGCTGTGTCCTAGTGTCCGTCTTGGGCCTCAGAGGCTGCTCTCAATTACCCCAATGTGACTCAAGGCTATAACACAGGTGGACATTTGACCTGGTAATTTTGCAAGTCCTAAAACTTAAACTGTTAGCATTTAAGCCTTAAGGGAAAAAGAATTATGACCAAGTTTCATGAGCTTTAGACACTTAGCCCAATCCCTAATGCATCTCATATTCTTGAACACAAATCACATAGTTGAGACAGTTGTGCCCACTTTGATTCTCTTCCCATCATTCTGATCAAGTGAAAGAGAAAGTTTGGTTTTGATTCTTTTCTGTTGTTAGTATTTCTCTCACTATTGTGTTCCTCCCCCTGCTTACTTTCTCTCTCTCTCTCTCTCTCTCTCTCTCTCTCTCTCTCTCTTTTGAGAGAGAGTGCGGAGGTGGAGGAGCAGAGGGAGAGCGAGAGAGAATCTTACGCAGGCTCCACACTCTGTGTGGAGTCCACAGGGGGCTCGATCTCATGACACTGAGATCAGGACCTGAGCCAAAATAAAGAGTTGGATGCTTCCTGAACTTACTTCCTTTTAAATAAGGAGAGAGCATGGCTGAGGCTCAAAGCTTTTCATAGATCACAGCAGATATGCAGGATTAAATTAAGATTATCTTGATTTCTTTGTGTGTGTCTGAGCATGTACTTCCTTCTTTAATTTTCTATTCCTTAGCTGTCTGTTGTATCTCTCGCTGTATTTTATAGTCACTTTTTATTTATGCTAAAGATGCTTTTTATTTTATAGTAGGAGAGTATAAACTATCTCAAAGCAATTTACTTATGTTAATTTTAAGAAGAGCTTGTGTAAAGAAAAATGGTGAGGAAACTAATACTAATAGTAGACTCAATAAAAGTATGCTGTTAATGGATATGGTGAAGTATGAAGGCAGCTTTGCAGTCAGCTAGAAATGGTGCACCCCTGGGACACCTGGGTGGCTCAGCGGTTGAGTGTCTGCCTTTGGCTCAGGGCGTGATCCTGGAGTACAGGGATCAAGTCCCACATCGGGCTCCCTGCATGGGGCCTGCTTCTCCCTCTGCCTCTCCGTGTCTCTCATGAATAAATAAATAAAATCTTAAAAAAATAAAAATAGAACTACCGTATGATCCCGCTATTCCACTTCTGGCTATACATGCAAAGGAAAGAAACCCACCATCCTGAAGAGCAGTCCGCACTCCTGTGCTTGTTGGGCCATTATTCATAATAGCCAAGGTCAGGGGAGAAACCTGAGTATTCACTGATGGATAAATAGATAGAGAAAATATGGCATTTACATGCAGTGGCATATTATCTCAGTCATAAACACTGAAATTCTGTCGCAATATGGGTGCCCCTGGAGGACAGCTTCTCCTTTTGCCCATGTCTGTGCCTCTCTCTCTCTCTCTGTCTCTCTCATGAATAAATAAATAAAATCTTAAAAAAAAAAAAGAAATGGTTCATCCACTTGAAATGTGACCTTGGACAAATGACCTAAGCTCTTTGGATCTCAGTTTTCTCATCTATAAATTGGAAGCCATACCATCTGCTCACAACCTAGAGTTGTTGTGAGAATAAAATAAGAAGCATATAGGAGATGGAGCTGAGACACCCCATTCCTGTCTACAAAGTCTGAGCTCTTTTTCCACACTGAGATCATTCTTAGAGAGTTTCTCATAATGATAAATACAAACAGGGTTACATCTGCAAAAATGGTGGAATAAGGGCTTTCTAAAATTTTATCCTCTATAAAAACAACAAGAATTAAAAAAAAAAACCTTGGAAAAATAACCAGAATCTACTTCTTAAAACTGGAAACTAACCAAAGGCTGGAATAGCTCAGGGAGTGTTTATTAAGCACTCATTAAAGATTTGGGTGAATCTCAGAATGCCCCTGAGATATTGCCTCATTATGCAAAAATAACATATCCCTCAAAACAATTTTGGGAAAAGTTTAAAACACATCTGATGAATTTCAACTTTCAGAAACAAGGACCACCAGAAAATATTAGTCTCAACATTTTGTATGCTGAAGTCTGCCTTTGATAAAGTTGAACTGTACATTTTTTAAACTTGATTGCCATCAAAGCAGAAATTATAAAGTTGCAAACCAATGATAACACATCCCAAATTGATCTAGACACTCAATATAATCTTTATTAAAATCCCAGTAGACTTCTTTGCAGAAATAGATGATCTTGTCCAAAAATTTATGTAGAAAGGCAAGGGACCCATAATAGCCAAAACAGTCTCTCTTTTTTTAAGATTTTTTTTAATTCATGAGAGACACAGAGAGAGGCAGAGACGTAGGCAGAGAGAGAGAAGCAGGCTCCCCGACTCCATCCCAGGGCCCCAGGATCACAACCTGAGCCAAAGGCAGATACACAACCACTGAGCCACCCAGGCATCCTACCACAACAGTCTTGATAAAGAAACAACAGGACTCACACTTCCCTATTTCAAAACCTACTACTAAGTGACAGTAATAAACTGTGTGAAAAAAAGAAAGACAGTGTGGCGCTGGTAAAAAGATAGATATGGATGAATAGGATAGAATTGAGAGTCCAGAAATAAACCCATAAGTCTATGGTTAGTTGATTTTAAACAAAGTTGCTAATAAATTCAAGGGGGAAAGAATTGTCTTTCCAACTTGTAGTGCTGGCACATATTGTATGATTCCATTCATATGAAATATCCAGAATAGCGAAATCCATAGAGAAAATGTAGATTAGTGGTTGCCAAGGGCTGGGGAAAAAGGGGGATTAGGGAGTGCCTGCTAATCTGTACCATATTTCTTTTTAGGATAATGAAAATGTTCTGGAATTAGATAGTGGCAATGATTACACCGTTTCATGAATATACCAAAAACCATTGAATTGTGCACTCCAGAATAGTGAATTTTATGGTATGAGAATTATATCTTAAAAAAAGAAGAAGACACAGAACAGTGTGAATCATATGCTACCTATTGCATTAAAAAGATGGTACAGAAAACAGAATATACTTAGCATTTCCCTAAAGAAACACTGAACAGATGTGCAAGAAACTAGTAATATTTGTTACACATTGAAGCAGGTGAAATGGGGAACAGGGTAGATGGGCACAAGATGGGAGTAAGCCTTCTCAATGCATCTTTTCATTGTTTTGAATTTGAACCCTGTGACTATAACACTATAAAAAATAAAATTAAATTTAAAAAATCAAGCAAACAAAATTCCTCAACAAATGTTTTCTATTTCTTTTCTGCCTATGCTGCTGTCTAGGCTGGGCACCGGCCCCAGATCCCTGCATTCTGGTGGGTCAATGGCATGGGAGCAGAGATCAAATGGAGCTTTGAGGAGCTGGGGAAGCAATCCAGGAAGGCAGCTAATGTGCTCCAAGGCATGTGTGGCCTTCAGCCTGGGGACAGGATGATGCTGGTGCTCCCACGGCTCCCAGAGTGGTGGCTGGTCAGTGTGGCATGTATACGGACAGGTCAGTGAGCAGGGCTGAGGCTACCAGTTGGGGTGGACACACCTGCCAGAACTTTGCAGAATCCACATGTTTTGGGAGATGCAGCAAAGTGAACCCTATGTGGGGTTTTGTTTACTTCCCCTTTGCTCCACAATCACGCACTTGACTGAGCCCAGGGGTCAGATAGTAATGTAATTGATGAAAGTGGGTCAGTGTGAGGCAATTAGAAGTCCTGGGGGCTTTACTAAACTGGACCTCACATGCCTCTTCAAACAGGGACAAGTGCTTCTCCCTCCAATCGGATGTTTCCATGTGTGAAGGAGGGCCAATGTTTCCAGCACTTTAGACTTTGTAATAGAAAACTCTGGATTTTTATGAGGAAAAAAAAAAGCTTCTTATCTTTTAATGTTGAGAACTAAATAAACTTTTAAAAAATTCTGAGTGGGACAAACCAAACATATCTTTGGCTGGTTGTAGCTTGGGAGGTGCTAGTGTGTGGAGAGTAATGCAATTACAGATAAGAGACCTTCATAATCAATCCACATTAGTTTCACTCTTAAACTTTATGGCTCTCACCACCACAGCATCTACCAGCTTCCAAGGGGAAGAAGAGGAAGACAAAATAATCAACGCAATAAGATAAGCCCCTGAGGGTTCCTCCTCCTGCTGTTATTAATGGCCAAAGCAGTGGACCATTGATCTTCCTGGGATGATTCTTCCAGCAGAGGAGCAGAGGAGGCAAAAGGACACAGTCCATAGAACTCAGAGGGCCTCTGCTGATCCTGTCTTATTGAAAGGGCTGGAGGGTTTTTTGTTTTTGTCTTTTGCTGATTTTACAAAAGCAAGAGAAGTACTTTTAATGGAGAGCTGATTCCTCCATCCTCTGGAAACTTTCCATCACTTAGAATGTTACCGACCCCCTCCCAATCCTATCCATAGAACAATCTGCCTGAAATACAGATGCTTTTACAAATAATGTTTGTAAAATACAGGGATATAAACTCACACCAAACAATTAGGTTGCTATATGAACAAGTAGAGTCAACCATTTTTTGAATGGATTGTCAAAAAAAAAAAAAAAGGAGGCAGGAACTTTCATTTTATTTTTATATATTTTTGCACAATATATAGAAATGAACACCATTCTAATGCTATAGCTAGAGGAAAAGAAACAGGCACACAGGTTTGAGGAGTTCTCCATATTCAGCCATGACATATAAGGCTTATTTAAATGAAGGCCAAGGTAAGGGAGGCCTTGGACTTTTCTTAAGGACCTACTATGTGCCATGCACTGTGTTGCGTACTTTGATAGATCAAAACTTCCTTTTGGGGTATGATTTTAATTATTTTCCCTGTTACCTAAATGTCTCCAGTTTCTCCAATCATGCAAATTCATCCATTTCTTTGATGTCCAAATAAAATAACTCAAGACGACATCACACATGACTATGTCAAGCCCAACATCCTCTCCAACATCTTAGAGGATATCCAAGGTGGATGCCCTCACATTCTCACATTCCCATGTTTTCCTGATGTGCACTGATCACCTCTCTTCCAGCCTGTGGTGTTGGACTCATTTCTCTTGCTGACAGCCCAGCTGTCCACTCTCTGACTGGGCCCCCAAAGCACACCACACACAACTCAAGGTGGGACAGACTTATTCTGGGAATCGCTAAAACAGAGAGATGAACTGAGGAAACACTGTTCAGCTCCAAAAGTGTTCAGGCTAGGGTTTAAATCCAATAAAAGTTCAGGAGATAAAGCAAAAAGTTCAGGAGATAAAGTAACGGGAACTCTGGTGTGGCTCCCATAGCATTTGGGATTGACTCCTTCTTCTGTCTACTGTCCATACTCACTGGCCATGGCAGGATAACCAGTTCCTTTAGGAGCTCTCTCTCCCCCCCCCTTTCTCTCTCTGCTCATCTGTGAAATGAGAGTGCTGGCTTCAATGGAGTGTTTACAACCTGTTCTGAGATACTCAGGTATCTTTTCAGGTGTCTGATTAAAATTTGTCCCTGCTTTCTGCTTCCTCATCCCTTCCCCTTGGGAAGAGACAGACTCAGCTACCTTCAGAATGGCTTTGGTTGAACTTATAGGAGTCTGGAGCTCCCACCTACTAAACCTGCCCTCCCACCACCCACCCCAAGAGATCCACCCTCAACACTAGGATTTGTTGTAGCTTTTTGTTTGCAGGCATGGAAAATCATTGGGCTAGGTTATCTCTAAGGCAGTATAATATAACGTTCAAGATCATGGACTCCTAGGTTTACTACCTCCTGGATTCACTATCCCAGCTCTATAATAACGTGTTAGCCACGTGATCTTGGGCAAGTTATTCCATTTAATTAAGGTATAAGGGTCTGAGTCTTAGTTATTGTTATTTAATCTGCAAAATGCATAATAGCACCTACTCTCCAGGGTTGTGAGAATTAAATGAAATAATGCATATATAGTTCTTAGAACATGTAAGTGTTCCATAAACATATTCTGGATTTCATTATTATCATTATTGTTACCTTTCCCAGTTCAAGCATTCCAACCCTTACTAGTCCCTTCCTGTTCCTATCTCTTGGGGCTATCTGGTCTGGACCTCTTCGCAGGGATCTTCCCCAGCTGCCCAATCAATATCCCCTTCTCTGTGTGGTACCAGGGGCTGTTATGATTCCGGGTGTCTCTCAGCTGACGGAGAAGGACCTCAAATATCGGCTGCAGGCATCCAGAGCCAAGTCCATTATCACTAGTGACTCTCTGGCTCCGCGGGTGGATGCCATTAGTGCTGACTGTCCCTCCCTCCAGTCCAAGCTACTGGTGTCCAACAGCAGTCGGCCAGGCTGGATGAACTTCAGGGAACTCCTTCGGTAAGTTGGGGTTCTCTAGAGAACAGGATAAAGATAAGGCCAAGGTTTTTCTCCTTTAAGTACTAGGAGACGGAATACAGTGCTGATGATACAGGAAGAAAGTGAACCAGAAAGGAGCACTCACTGTGGAGGCCACATGGGCTAAGACAAAATCCTGGTGATCACCTTAAGATCCTTCAAAGTCACTTGCTTAGGCAGTACTAGAATTGTCATTAGCCTTTCTGGGTGTCATTTGCTTCTGCACTGGTGGTAGTGGTTACAGAGCTATTCACCAGAGTAAACAAGATAACCCATACGATGCATTTAGGACATAGTAGGTGATCAATTAGTAATATAATAATAGCTACCATGCATTGAGTGCTTAGTGTATACTAGGCAAGCATTTACCTACATTTCATTCATACACCAAAGATGTAAGGAACATCTGTTTTGTGATAATTATTGTGTTTAAGTGAGTTACAGCATCATTTTTGAACCTCCATTTCCTTATTTACAAAGGGTTCTAATGATAGTACCTACCCCAGGAGGTCATTGTAGGACTCAGGTATGCAAGCTGGAGCTTCCAGCACAGTATAAAAGTATGTATTTTTAAGGATTTTATTTATCTATTTGAGAGAGAGAGTATGAGAAAGAGCAGGAACGGGATGAGAGGCAGAAGGAGAAGCATACTCCCCACTGAGCAGGGAGCCTGACAGGGGGCTCCATCCCTGGATTCCAGGATCATGACCTGAGCGGAAGGCAGATGCTTAACCGACTGAGCCACCCAGGCGCCCCTCATTTAACATTTATTAAAATGGTGGTCAATATTGTTGTTATAAATATTACTGTTGTTAGGACTAATTTTTACTACTTATAATATTACCTAAAATTTTTATATTTTACAGTGAGGCATCAACAGAGCACAACTGTGTGAGGACAAAGAGTCAAAACCCTATGGCTATCTACTTTACAAGTGGCACTACTGGAGCTCCCAAGATGGTCGAGCACTCCCAGGCTAGCTATGGACTGGGTTTTGTGGCCAGTGGAAGGTACCAGGGAAAGTTCATTTGCTGGGTCCAAGGAACAGAAAAGAGGGAGTGAGCTGGAGGAATATGAGTAAGAGGCATAGTGACAAGAGAGCTAACAGTGGCAAATTGGGTAGAATCTGAAGGCTTTTGGCTTACTTTAACTTTGAGCAAAGTGAGAAGCCATCAGAGGATTTTGTTTTCATTTTTGAATTGTGGTAAAGATACTTAACATAAAATTTACCATTTTAACCATTTTTTAAGTATAGACTTCAATGTCATTAAGGACATTCACATTGTTGTGCAATCATCCCCACCATCTATCTCTGGAACTTCTCCATTCTGCAAATATGAATTCACATTACACAAGACATGTTACACAATAATTCTCTATACCCTCTTCCCTCTGCTCCGACAACCACCATTCTACTTTCTATCTCTATGAGTTTGACTTCTCTGGAAACTGCTTGTAAGTAATCATACAGTATTTTTCCTTTCATGTCTAACTCATTGCATTTGGCATAACGTCCACAAGTTTCATCCATGTTGTAGCATGTGTCAGAATTTCCTTCCTTATTAAGGCTCAATAATATTCTGATATATATAACATCCCAATGTTGCTTATCCAGTCACCCATGGATGGACACAGGTTGCTTCCCAACTTTTTGGCTGTTGTGACTAGTGCTGCTTTTAACATGGGTACATAGCATCTATTCAAAACTCTGCCTTTAATTCCTTGGGGTCTATACCCTGAAGTGGAATTGCTGAATGATATAGTGATTCTATGTTTAATTTTCTGAGGAACATTGGAGTATTCTGAACAGAAGAGTGATGTGGATCTGATTTGTTTTTTTAAAGGATCTCTCAGGAGTTTGGGTTGAGAATAAACCATAAGAGGGACAAGGGGTGAAGCAGAGGTCCACTTCAGAGACCAGTGCATAAAGAGGCAAAAGTAGAGGCTTTCCAGAGGGAGTGAGAAGAACTAAGATTCTGAATGTATTTTGAACATAAGCCTAATAAGATTACTTGACAGGTTTGACATGAAGTGAGAGAGATGAGTCAGGGATGATGCCAAGTTTTATGGCCTAGCAACCAGAAGCATTAACTGATAGTGGGAAGACTAGGATGAGCTGTCTGATGGGAGGAACATGAGCAGTCTGTTTTTAGCATTCTAAGTTTGAGATGCTTAGTAGACATCTCCATATCCAGAGTTAAGTATGGAGACACTGAGGATACATGTGTAGAGTCAGTAGGAAAGATTCATGCTGGAATTATCAAGAAAGTGGTACTTACTGCCTTGAGATTGGATGAGATCAGCAAAGAGTAATGAACACTGAGAATGTCAGTTCATTGTCAGTGAATGAGCACCAAATGTCTGAGGCCTTTCCGCAATGAAGGGATAAGCAAGGAAAACTCAGAGGAGACTAAGAAGGATCACTTGCCATCAGGGAAATACAAATCAAAACCACAATGAGATACCACCTCACACCAGTGAGAATGAGGAAAATTAACAAGGCAGGAAACCACAAATGTTGGAGAGGATGCGGAGAAAAGGGAACCCTCTTACACTGTTGGTGGGAATGTGAACTGGTGCAGCCACTCTGGAAAACTGTGTGGAGGTTCCTCAAAGAGTTAAAAATAGATCTGCCCTACGACCCGGCAATTGCACTGCTGGGGATTTACCCCAAAGATACAGATGCAATGAAATGCCGGGACACCTGCACCCCGATGTTTCTAGCAGCCATGTCCACAATAGCCAAACTGTGGAATGAGCCTCGGTGTCCATCGAAAGATGAATGGATAAAGAAGATGTGGTCTATGTACACAATGGAATATTACTCAGCCATTAGAAATGACAAATACCCACCATTTGCTTCAACGTGGATGGAACTGGAGGGAATTATGCTGAGTGAAATAAGTCAGTCGGAGAAGGACAAACATTATATGGTCTCCTTCATTTGGGGAATATAAATAATAGTGAAAGGGAATAGAGGGGAAGGGAGAAGAAATGAGTAGGAAATATCAGAAAGGGAGACAGAACATGGGAGACTCCTAACTCTGGGAAATGAACTAGGGGTGGTGGAAGGGGAGGAGGGCAGGGGGTGGGGGTGACTAGTTGGTGGGCACTGAGCGGGGCACTTGACAGGATGAGCACTGGGTGTTATTCTGTATATTGGCAAATTGAACACCAATAAAAAATAAATTTATTATTAAAAATAAATAAAAAATAAATAAATAAATAAATAAATAAATAAATAAATAAATAAATAAATAAATAAGGAGCAGCCATTGAGTAGGTTGAGGACCAGGAGACCATGTATTCCAGAATCAAGTGCTGAACATGATCACTTTTCTTTGCTTGCAGGCACTGCTTTCCCTTCTGGGTTGTGCTTCCTTCTCTGCCTCCCCTGTGTAGCTCCTATGCATCATTTGCGTCTCACTCAAGTCTCACCTCTCTGGGGAAACATTTCTCAGATTCCATCTCCATCCTTTATCTGGGTTAGGTGCCCATTCTCTGTAATTTCATAAGGCTCTGTGTTTAACTCTATGAAAGCTTGCTCTACAGGGGCCTCCTGGAGGAACCTATCATCCCTCAAAGCAAGACTAATCATTCTTTCCTACACGCTAATGCCAAGTCCTGAGTAAGTGTTAAAGAAAATGCCCTCATCACATTGTACTGAGATTGTGTTCCCTTATATATCACTCCACTAGACAGTGAGCTCTTGAAGACATGGGATCTGTCTTTTTAATTCTATATCCTTCATCTAGGGAATAAATACATAGAATATACTCAATAAAAGCTTGTTGAGACAAAGATTGACTTTATGGTTCTTGTACAGATTTTATAACTATAAGTGAGTATCCACTGTGGGCAAGGCTCCACATAAGGTTACATGGATAATATAATCCTTTTTAAAGGTAGAATCATTGCTGAGAGTTCTGACTTTCTTTAATTTTTGGCAGGCAGTGGGTGGATTTGACCATATCGGACATCTTCTGGAACACATCTGACACTGGCTGGGTAAAGGCAGCTTGGACCCTCTTCTCTGCCTGGTCTAATGGATCTTGTATTTTTGTACATGAGCTGCCCCGAGTTGATGTCAAGGTTATTCTGAATGTAAGGAACAAAAACATGACTTATGAGTTGCATGTAAATGAGTGTAATATAGGTTTTGAATTTGCAGGAGAAAAGGCATGAATAAGTGACAATAAGGCTTCTTTGGTGGCCTCCTTCCATATCTGATTTCTCATTTGCCTATCTTCAATTATTGCCTATCCTCTAACTAGATCCCTAGTCATAAGACCATTTCATGTCTCTAAACATTTGCATATTCTATTTTATCTGCATTAGGTGGCTCTCCCTCCATCACCTTCTTCTTTATGCTCCTGTTAAAACCCTAATTATTTCTCCAACACTTTGGGAAAAATCATAGTCTACTTCTCAATTCCATGTGCTACCATCCCTGGGGCTTAGTGTGTTTTATCCAACACTGGAGTCCTGGTGACTCCGGCACAACCTCCCAGGATTTTCTCATAATTATTGAGCCAGTAAAGACATGGGGCACCTTTCTTCTGCCCTCCACATTCTAATTGCCATTCCTTAAAACATCTGAGGCACCATCTGCCTGTGCCCTTTGCATGGAGGTAAGCTGTCACCTGGTGGCTAATAGCATAGGCTGTACCATCAGTCAGACCTGGTTTCTGATCCTGCATCTTCCATTTGCTAGCTGTGTGTCCTTGGGGAAGTCACTGAATTTCCCTGAGCCTCAATTTCCTCATTATCATCTGTAAGAAGAAAGGGATAATTCTATGTTCCATGGAGAATGAAACTATACTAGGCATAGGGCCCAGCACATATTGATTATTATTGCCACGGTCAAGCTCACCATCATCATTATTCACTACGGGCTTGATCAGCCAATGTGTGCCTTGTCCCTCTACTGCCCATAGCCCTTACTTACATAGTGTTAGTTATCTACTGTAGTGAGTTACCCCAAAACTTAGCAGCTTAAAACAAACATTTTTAATCTCAGTTTCTGGTGGTCAGGAGTCTGGGAGAAGCCTAACAGCTAGTTCTGAATCATGAGATTTCAGCCCGGTATATCCATGTTTAGAGCAGCATTATGCCTCATGGCCCAAAGGTGTGGAAGCAATGCAAGTCCCATGGGCAGATAAACAAATAAACAAAATATGATACATACATACAATGGAATGTTATTCAGCCTTTAAAAAGAAGAAATGGCACATGCTATATCATGGATGAATCTTGAAGACATTACATTAAGTGAACCAAAACAGCCACAAAAGGGCAGATACTATATAGTTCACTATATGATGTATCTAGATTGGTTAAAATAATAGAGACAGACAGTAGAATGGTCAGGAGCTGAGGGAAAGAGGAAATGGGGTGTCAGCATGTAATGAGCACAGAGTTTCATTTTGGGAAGATTTTTTAAAGTTCTGGAGATGGATACTGGTGATGGTAACCATTCAATGATCACAACAATGTAAATATATTTAATACCATTAGACTGTACATTTTTAAATGGTTAAAATGGTAAATTTTATGTTCTGTGTATTTTTTGTAGGATTTTATTTATTTACTCATGAGAGACACAGAGAGGGAGAGACATAGGTAGAGGGAGAAGTGGGCTTCCTGCGGGGAGCCTGATGCAGGACTTGATCCCAGGACGCTGAAATCACGACCTGAGCCAAAGTTGATGCTCAACCACTGAGCCACCCAGGTACCCCTGTGTGGTGTGTGTTTTACCATAATAATAAAAAGAAAGATGCCTGTCAAGATCACAATTATCTTAAGGCTTGACTGGGACTACAGAATATTTTAAAAACCCACTCGTGATTTTTAAAAGAATTCGTTTCTCATGGACTATTGGCCAAGGGTTTCAGTTTTTTGCTATATACATTCAAGTATATTCACATCATGGTGGCCTCTTTTCCCCAGAGCAAGTGACTCAAGATAGGGAGAGAGAGGGACAAAACAGAAGACAGAAGCTCTATCTTTATATAACCTTTATATAACCTTTATTTTAATAAATTAATTTTTATTGGTGTTCAATTTACCAACATACAGAATAACACCCAGTGCTCATCCCGTCAAGTGTCCCCCAGAGTGCCCGTCACCCATTCACCCCCACCCCCCGCCCTCCTCCCCCTCCACCACCCCTAGTTCATTTCCTAGAGTTAGAAGTCTTTATGTTCTGTGTCCCTTTCTGATATTTCCCACACATTTCTTCTCCCTTCCCTTATATTCCCTTTCACTATTATTCATATTCCCCAAATGAATGAGAACATACAGTTTGTCCTTCTCCGATTGACTTACTTCACTCAGCATAATACCCTCCAGTTCCATCCACGTTGAAGCAAATGGTGGGTATTTGTCATTTCTAATGGCTGAGTAATATTCCATTGTATGCATAAACCACATCTTCTTTATCCATTCATCTTTCGATGGGCACCGAGGCTCCTTCCACAGTTTGGCTATTGTGGGCATGGCTGCTAGAAACATCGGGGTGCAGGTGTCCCAGCGTTTCATTGCATCTGAATCTTTGGGGTAAATCCCTAACAGTGCAATTGCTGGGTCGTAGGGCAGGTCTATTTTTAATTCTTTGAGGAACCTCCACACAGTTTTCCAGAGTGGCTGCACCAGTTCACATTCCCACCAACAGTGTAAGAGGCTTCCCTTTTCTCCGCATCCTCTCCAACATTTGTTGTTTCCTGCCTTGTTAATTTTCCCCATTCTCACTGGTGTGAGGTGGTATCTCATTGTGGTTTTGATTTGTATTTCCCTGATGGCAAGTGATGCAGAGCATTTTCTCATGTGCATGTTGGCCATGTCTATGTCTTCGTCTGTGAGATTTCTCTTCATGTCTTTTGCCCATTTCATGATTGGATTGTTTCTTTGCTGTTGAGTTTAATAAGTTCTTTATAGATTTTGGAAACTAGCCCTTTATCTGATATGTTATTTGCAAATATCTTCTCCCATTCTGTAGGTTGTCTTTGAGTTTTGTTGACTGTATCCTTTGCTGTGCAAAAGCTTCTTATCTTGATGAAGTCCCAATAGTTCATTTTTGCTTTTGTTTCTTTTGCTTTCGTGGATGTATCTTGCAAGAAGTTACTGTGGCCAAGTTCAAAAAGGGTGTTGCCTGTGTTCTCCTCTAGGATTTTGATGGAATCTTGTCTCACATTTAGATCTTTCATCCATTTTGAGTTTATCTTTGTGTATGGTGCAAGAGAGTGGTCTAGTTTCATTCTTCTGCATGTGGATGTCCAATGTTCCCAGCACCATTTATTGAAGAGACTGTCTTTCTTCCAGTGGATCGTCTTTCCTCCTTTATCGAATATTAGTTGACCATAAAGTTCAGGGTCCACTTCTGGGTTCTCTATTCTGTTCCATTGATCTATGTGTCTGTTTTTGTGCCAGTACCACACTGTCTTGATGACCACAGCTTTGTAGTACAACCTGAAATCTGGCATTGTGATGCCCCCAGATATGGTTTTCTTTTTTAAAATTCCCCTGGCTCTTCGGGGTCTTTTCTGATTCCACAGAAATCTTAAAATAATTTATTCTAAGTCTCTGAAGAAAGTCCATGGTATTTTGATAGGGATTGCATTAAACGTGTAAATTGCCCTGGGCAACATTGACATTTTCACAATATTAATTCTGCCAATCCATGAGCATGGAATATTTTTCCATCTCTTTGTGTCTTCCTCAATTTCTTTCAGAAGTGTTCTATAGTTTTTAGGGTATAGATCCTTTACCTCTTTGGTTAGGTTTATTCCTAGGTATCTTATGCTTTTGGGTGCAATTGTAAATGGGATTGACTCCTTAATTTCTCTTTCTTCAGTCTCAGTGTATAGGAATGCCATTGATTTCTGGGCATTGATTTTGTATCCTGCCACGCTACCAAATTGCTGTATGAGTTCTAGCAATCTTGGGGTGGAGGCTTTTGGGTTTTCTATGTAGAGTATCATGTCATCGGCGAAGAGGCAGAGTTTGACTTCTTCTTTGCCAATTTGAATGCCTTTAATGTCTTTTTGTTGTCTGATTGCTGAGGCTAGGACTTCCAATACTATGTTGAATAGCAGTGGTGAGAGTTGACATCCCTGTCTTGTTCCTGATCTTAGGGGAAAGGCTCCCAGTGCTTCCCCATTGAGAATGATATTTGCTGTGGGCTTTTCGTAGATGGCTTTTAAGATGTCGAGGAAAGTTCCCTCTATCCCTACACTCTGAAGAGTTTTGATCAGGAATGGATGCTGTATTTTGTCAAATGCTTTCTCTGCATCTAATGAGAGGATCATATGGTTCTTGCTTTTTCTCTTGCTGATATGATGAATCACATTGATTGTTTTACGAGTGTTGAACCAGCCTTGTGTCCCGGGGATAAATCCTACTTGGTCATGGTGAATAATTTTCTTAATGTGTTGTTCGATCCTATTGGCTAGTATCTTGTTGAGCATTTTTGCATCCATGTTCATCAGGGATATTGGTCTGTAATTCTCCTTTTTGGTGGGGTCTTTGTCTGGTTTTGGAATTAAGGTGATGCTGGCCTCATAGAATGAATTTGGAAGTACTCCATCTCTTTCTATCTTTCCAAACAGCTTTAGTAGAATAGGTATGATTTCTTCTTTAAACGTTTGATAGAATTCCCCTGGGAAGCCATCTGGCCCTGGACTCTTGTGTCTTGGGAGGTTTTTGATGACTTCTTCAATTTCCTCCCTGGTTATTGGCCTGTTCAGGTTTTCTATTTCTTCCTGCTCCAGTTTTGGTAGTTTGTGGCTTTCCAGGAATGCGTCCATTTCTTCTAGATTGCCTAATTTATTGGCATAGAGCTGTTCATAATATGTTTTTAAAATCGTTTGTATTTCCTTGGTGTTGGTAGTGATCTCTCCTTTCTCATTCATGATTTTATTAATTTGAGTCTTCTCTCTCTTCTTTTTAATAAGGTTGGCTAATGGTTTATCTATCTTATTAATTCTTTCAAAGAACCAACTCCTGGTTCTATTGATCTGTTCCACAGTTGTTCTGGTCTCTATTTCGTTGAGTTCTGCTCGAATTTTAATTAACTCTCTTCTTCTGCTGGGTGTCGGGTCGATTTGCTGCTTCTTCTCTAGCTCCTTTATGTGTAAGGTTAGCTTTTGTATTTGAGTTCTTTCCAGTTTTTGAATGGATGCTTGTATTGCGATGTATTTCCCCCTCAGGACTGCTTTTGCTGCATCCCAAAGATTTTGAACAGTTGTATCTTCATTCTCATTAGTTTCCATGAATCTTTTTAATTCTTCCTTAATTTCCTGGTTGACCCTTTTATCTTTTAGCAGGATGGTCCTCAACCTCCACGTGTTTGAGGTCCTTCCAAACTTCTTCTTGTGATTGAGTTCTAATTTCAAGGTGTTATGGTCTGAGAATATGCAGGGGACGATCCCAATCTTTTGGTATCGGTTCAGACCCGATTTGTGACCCAGTATGTGGTCTATTCTGGAGAAAGTTCCATGTGCACATGAGAAGAATGTGTATTCAGTTGAGTTTGGATGTAAAGTTCTGTAGATATCTGTGAAATCTATCTGGTCCAGTGTATCATTTAAAGCTCTCGTTTCTTTGGAGATGTTGTGCTTAGAAGACCTGTCGAGGGTAGAAAGAGCTAGATTGAAGTCACCAAGTATAAGTGTATTATTATCTAAGTATTTCTTCACTTTGGTTAATAGTTCGTTTAAGTATTTGGCAGCTCCCACATTCGGGGCATATATATTGAGGATTGTTAAGTCCTCTTGTTGGATAGATCCTTTAAGTATGATATAGTGTCCCTCTTTGTCTCTCACTACTGTCTTCGGGGTAAATTTTAGTTTATCTGATATAAGGATGGCTACCCCTGTTTTCTTTTGAGAACCATTTGAATGGTAAATGGTTCTGCAACCTTTTATTTTCAGGCTGTAGGTGTCCTTCTGTCTAAAATGAGTCTCTTGTAGACAGCAAATAGATGGGTCCTGCTTTTTTATCCAGTCTGAAACCCTGCGCCTTTTGATGGGGTCATTAAGCCCGTTCACGTTCAGAGTTACTACTGACAGATATGAGTTTAGTGTCATCATGATATCTATTTAGTACTTGTTTTTGTGGATTGTTCCACTGAACTTCTTCTTAAAGGGGAATTTTAAGAGTCCTCCTTAAAATTTCTTGCAGAGCTGGTTTGGAGGTCACATATTCTTTCAGTTCCTGCCTGTCTTGGAAGCTCTTTATCTCTCCTTCCATTTTGAATGAGAGCCTTGCTGGATAAAGTATTCTTGGTTGCATGTTCTTCTCATTTAGGACCCTGATTATATGCTGCCAGCCCTTTCTGGCCTGCCACGTCTCTGTGGAGAGGTCTGCTGTTACCCTAATATTCCTCCCCATGAAAGTCAGGGACTTCTTGTCTCTTGCTGCTTTAAGGATCTTCTCTTTATCTTTGGAATTTGCAAGCTTCACTATTAGATGTCGAGGTGTTCAACGGTTTTTATTGATTTTAGGGGGGGATTTCTCTATTTCCTGGATCTGAATGCCTGTTTCCCTTCCCAGATTGGGAAAGTTTTCAGCTAGGATTTGTTCAAATACATATTCTGGCCCTCTGTCCCTTTCGGTGCCCTCAGGAACCCCAATTAAACGTAGGTTTTTCTTCCTTAGACTGTCATTTATTTGCCTTAATCTGTCTTCATGGTCCCTTAATTGACTGTCTCTTTTTTCCTCAGTTTCCCTCTTTGCCATTAACTTGTCTTCTATGTCACTCACTCGTTCTTCCACCTCGTTAACCCTCGTCGTTAGGACTTCTAGTTTGCATTGCATCTCATTCAACTGATTTTTAATTTCTGCCTGATTGGATCTAAATTCTGCAGTCATGAAGTCTCGTGAGTCCTTAATGCTTTTTTCTAGAGCCACCAGTAGCTGTATAATAGTGCTTCTGAATTGGCTTTCTGACATTGAATTGTAATCCAGATTTTGTAACTCTGTGGGAGAGAGGGCTGTTTCTGATTCTTTCTTTTGAGGTGAGGTTTTCCTTCTAGTCATTTTGCTCAGTGCAGAGTGGCCAAAAACAAGTTGTATTGGGAAAAGGAGAGAAAGAGAGAGAAGGAAAGAAAAGAGAAAGAGAAAAAAGAAAAAGAAAAAAAAAGGAAAAAAGAGAAGAAAAAGAGAAATAAAGAGAAAGAAAGGTGAAAAAAAGGGGGGGTGGGGGAAGCAATCAGAAATCAAAAAGAAAAGAAAAAAGAAAAAAAGAACAAAAAAAAAAACCACGGAGGAGTATCTTCTGAATCTGTAGACTTTAAGTCCCTTGACTTCCCCTGGAACTGGTCCGTCAAGCTGGTCTTCTGGGGGAGGGGCCTGTTGTGTTGATTTTCAGGTGTTAGCGCTTGGGGGAGCTGCTCTGCCCCTGCCTGCTGCAAGGCTCAGCGGGGGTTGTTTACCCCGTGAGGCCCCAGGAGGAACAGCCACAGTTGCTATGTTGCTATGGCAACTCTGGAAGCCTGGATTCAGCCTCGCAGGAACTACGGGGCTCTCAGTCTGCACGGCCTGGAGGCTCCGGGGCGGGGCCGCTGATCTGCTCAGCTCAGGGCAGGAGTGTCCTTGCTGTCCTGGGCCCTCCCGGCCTCTGCCTGTCCCGGGGGAGGCCGGATCCTGGGCTGTGTCCCGGCGCCCTGTGCTCCGGGGCCTGCGCTGTTGGATTTGCGCTCCCGCCCCGCAGCCCCCTCCGCGGAGCCGCCGCCCGAGTCCCTCCGAGCTGCTCCGGGTCCCGCCGTGCGCGCTGCAGCCCTTAGGGAGCTCGGCGCACTCTCCCGGGGGCGCAGGTGTCTGTTAGTGTCCCAGGGAGCCCGAGGCCATCCCCGCCCTCCTGGGTCCTGCTCCAACTCCCTGCGGGCCCCTTTCCGCCCGGGAAGGTTGGTGCAGCTCCTGCTTCTCCGGGACGGGGCTCTCCTGTCCTGGGGACACTCGCCCCTGCCTCAGCCCGGCTCCTCGCGGGGCCCCTCCCCCTCGGAGGCCTTTTGTTTCTTTATTTCTTTTTCCCCGACTTCCTACCTTGATAGAAGCGCGAACTCTTCTCACTGTAGCGTTCCAGGTGGTCTCTCTTTATTTTTTTTTTTAACTTTTATTTATTTATGATAGGCACACAGTGAGAGAGAGAGGCAGAGACACAGGCAGAGGGAGAAGCAGGCTCCATGCACCGGGAGCCCAATGTGGGATTCGATCCCGGGTCTCCAGGATCGCGCCCTGGGCCAAAGGCAGGCGCTAAACCGCTGCGCCACCCAGGGATCCCGGTGGTCTCTCTTTAAATCTCAGGCCGAATTCGTAGATTTTCAGGATGATTTGAAGGTTATCTAGGTAATTTTTTGGGGACAGGTGATTTGGGGACCCTACTCTTCCGCCATCTTGCCCCTCCTCCCCTTTATATAAACTTTATATAATCTTGAAAGTGGCATCTGTCACCTCTGAGGTATGCTATTGGTCACACAGACCAAACTTGGTTCAATATGGGAATGGATCCCACAAGAATGCAAATATCAGGAAATGACATCATTCAGGGCCATCTTGGAGACTGGATGCCACACACAGTTTTTACCTTTTCTCTGTTAATGAGAATATGAAGACCCAGTTCACCCATCTTCACAAAGTCCCACCCCAGTACCTCGAAGAAGATCTTCTACCCTTTGTTTTTGTTTAGACTCTCTCCAGGTTCCCGATTACCACCTTCTGTTGTGTTCCTACCATCTTCCGGCTGCTGGTACAAGAGGATCTGACCAGGTACAGCCCATCTGTTGGTGATTTGGGGACCTAATATGTAAATATACAGCAGTATATATACACATTGAGACTCACCCTCTCATATCAACTCTGTCTCAGTCTCTCTCTCTCTCTCTCTCTCTTTCTCTCTTTCTGTGTGTATATACACACATCTGTGATTCTTTATGTATAGAATACATATTTGGAATATAGATATATCTGTGTTTCTCTATCACACACACACACACACACATACACACACACATTCAACCATACACATATACATCTATATCCTTTGCATATGCCTCACAAAAATAAACTGCACCACCACCCCCTGCCCAGGAATTTCCATTCAGATGGAATTGGATAGATTTAAGATAGTCTGAAATTTAGCACTTGAAGTAGACTGTCTACCCATAGGCCATTCTCTCAGCAGTATGTCGGCTACTTCTGTGAGGCTGGAGAAATTGTTGGCCACCTTTGTAATGGGATTTGTGGTCAGAGCCTTAGGTCTGGTGGGACTAGCAAGCCTACCACAATAGATGTTCCATCCTTCAGCCGAAGACTAACTCCATTCAGCCATGCTGAGTGAATGCCATTGGGCATCCCACAGAAGACAACAAGACACTGTGTGTGCATGGCTCCAATCCAGGGTGAATCCAAAGCAACATCTGCTAGCAGGAAAAGTGTAGTTGCTGGAGTGTTTGGAGACCTGTGACCCTTCAGTAACTTCCTGACTCTGATCTTTGTCTATTCTATTCTATTCTATTCTATTATCTATTCTCTCCTCTCATTCCATGTATCTGTCCATGAAGCACCTAAGAGAGAGTTCTTACATGATTCTCCTGGTGAATTCTTCTCTAGTGTAAGAATTTATCTCATTCATTGATCTGTTGTGTATACCTCACACATATTCAACCATACACATATACATCTATATCCTTTTCAGATGCCTCACAAAAATGAACTCATGATTTTAACAGCAAGCAGACTGAATAATTTGCTCAAAAACAATTTGGCTGAAAGGCATTAGGTAACACTAATTAATAGTCAAACCAAGTTTATCCAAAGGGAAAAAAAAATGGTTGAAATATATTTGCAACCACCCATTTTTTACATTTTGGGTAATTTGTTGCATAGAGGAGTAGTTTACAACATATTTAATATCTATAGGAATTTTTGGCCTATTCATCAGAATTGTCAGATTTCTAGAGGGCTACTTTTTACATTTTAATTTGTAATCAATTTATCTTTTTTTATAAGATTTTATTTATTCATGAGAGGCACACAGAGAGAGGGAGAGAGGCAGAGACACAGGCAGAGGGAGAAGCAGGCTCCATGCAGGGAGCCTGACGTGGGACTTGATCTTCAGGATCACGCCTTGGACTGAAGGCAGCGCTAAACTGCTGAGCCACCAGGGCTGCCCTCAATTTATCTTTTTTAAACAGGTAGCTGTCCTAACCAATTGATTAGGAGTTTGTTTTCAACCAAGTTATTTTGGCCAATTTACCTGGAATTCACTACGTTATGCCAAAACCTACTCTGTGATGTTTTGATTTTATTTCAAAATCAATAGGATTGATTTTTTTAAAAAATTTATCTGCCCATGAGGAATATGCCTGCAAAGCCAGAGGACAGGGCACTTGGAACAGATTATAGAACCTGGACTTTAGCCTCCAATGGCTTTAGATGTTTAGACCTGAGCAACAGTGCTGGAGGGTGGGGTGGGGGATGGAGAGATCCTGACCAGGTGACCTTGTCTTCCAATGGAGAAAGGTACCAATTTCAGAGCCTGAGACACTGTGTGACAGGAGGAGAGGCACTGAATCCTGATGTGAGAGAGAAGTGGAAGAGCCAGGTGGGCCTGGAGCTGCATGAAGGCTATGGCCAGTCTGAAACAGTGAGTGCTACTGGGTCCCGGGTCCCTGCCACAGGTCACCTCCACCTGAGCCCTCAGCCACTTGGTGGAGATGGCCGGCCCACAGAGCTTCTTGCCTTCCCGGCTGTGACACCTGTCAGGGACTACCCTGCCCCCTGGGAAAAACTGATAACAAAATCCTATCAGCTTTTCTCCTTTTTGGTTTAAAGATAAAGTGATTTCACTAAGATACCATAGCCAGAAAACCAACTCTTAGGGCCACGGGTGCTGCTTATCTCCACCAGAACAGCCTGTATCTGTCTCTGGTCAGAGCAAAAGATCTTACACAGTATTCCCCACAGCCATCTGGGCAGCAGAAATTTGGTGGTCAACCAAGTCTTTTGGCTTAGCAACACATTAGGTTCTTTATGTGTCAGTGTCCAGTAGGGTATTCAATAAATGTTTGTTGACTATGGAAAGAAGGAAGAAGACAGCAAGAGAGGATAGCAGAGGAGAGAGGGATGGAGAGGAGAGGTAGAAGGCAGAGTAAGAGAAAAGGCAGGCACCAGGAAGGAGGCTACGGGGATATGTCTCCACCTTACCGGATCTGCTTTCTCTCCAGGTTTTAATCTGTGCCAATCTAAAAGGCATGAAAATCAAGGCTGGATCCATGGGGAAAGCATTCCCACCTTATGATGTGCAGGTAGGCAGCCTGCCCCAACTGCTGTTGAGGCTCAGTTTAAAGAGGAGAACAAAGTGCATGTCCTAGGTTAGCAACAGCAGGCTCAGCTGGTGGAGTGGTCTGGCTGTGTAGATATCCAGACATGGCCCTATGATCTCCCTGCCAGGTCGTGGATGATGAGGGCAACATCCTGCCTCCAGGAGAACAAGGGAATATTGCTGTCCGAGTCAAGCCCACCCAGCCCTTCTGTTTCTTCAGTTGCTATTTGGTAAGTGGAAGGAATGGCCATTTTCACAGTGATTTCTGTGTGATGAGCATTGCCTTCTGCAATTTATAAATACTTCTTTGTTTAACCCTTGTAATTACTGCATGAGTTAGGTTGGCACTGTTGTGCCCAAGATCGTGAATCCGAGAAACCGCCAAGGAGCCGACACCGATGCAAACACACGAGGGTTTATTTACAAGCTCGAGCCTGGGTCCAAGTATACCTGACACAGCGGAGCAGGGACTTGGACCCCGAGACTAAGAGGCTTAGCAACTTTATAGGGGCCAGTGGCCAATGGGATACGCAGAAAGTTGCACAGTCATGCTGACCCAGCACTATTATTGATAAGGTGCTATAATCGATAAGGAAGGGAGAAAGATTGACTTATCCAATGTCAAGCAAGTAGTATGTGCAGGACATGGATTTAAGCATGGGTATGTCTGAGAGTGCAAATTTATAATGTAGGGGTCAGCCCATCGTTTTAATGATGGGAAAAATGCAGCTCAGAGAAGAGAAGGGACTTCACAAAAGTTAAATGCAATTTGTATCAGAGTCTAGTTTTCAGAATTCTTTTTTGTCTTGAGTCTTGTGTGGAGAGGGGTCTGCTGGGAGGGCTTGTGTCCAAAGGATTCTAGTCTAAGTTTCTGTGATTATCCAGTAATGACCTCTCCCTTGGGCCCACTTTGGCTGGTGTTTGCTGTAGACTTTCTTTCTGGCAGACTCCTCTCTATAAAGCTCTACTGACCTGGTTTTGGTTGCACATTATAAATACCTTGGAAGCTTCAAAATATGATGGATACTAAAGTTCTGCCTGATGAGATCAACCTTCCTAATGATGTGGATCAGTTCCTCTGGTGATTCAAAAGTACAGCCAAGGTTGAGAACCATGGTTTTATTAGGAACTCCATCTGTTGTGCATATGATGCCATCAATCAGCTATAACACTGGAAGGAACAGATAAAAATCAGTCCATTTGTTTTTAGAATGATGGATATGTATTTTAGTGGCTTTTCTGTGACTACAAGAGAGATAGTCTTTCATGGTATTTCATTTAAAGTCACAAAAGCTTACCTACCAGAAAAAGCCAAAAACAAAAACCAAACCCAAACAACAACATAGTAATACACCAAGAAGAGATCATTTTAAAATTTTAATGCATTTCTTTCTAATCATTTTTGCAAGCCATAGCAAATCCTTGACTTTTCTGAATAATTTATTCATTCATTATTTATCGAGTGGCTACTTGATGCCACAAGTCTACAGCAATGGGCAGAAAAGACAAGACCCTGGTTCTCACAGAGCTCACATACAGGACCTTTCTGGGTTTGTGATCATTCTGATGGGAAAGTCCAATAATTTGTAGAGTTATTTGCTGGACAAGAACCTTTACTTGTTTCAACTTTTTCATTCTAGCACTAGCTGTTAGTTTTTTTCTTGGGTCATTTTTAACTAAGAAAAAAAAAAACATTAAACCTCAGTGAGATAAAAGTCATCTGTCATGTCAGTTTGGTCCGAAATAAAAGTTTGATATATTCATACATAGCTAAGTTTAGGCAGTTTCTTCTATTTAATTGGTCATTTATTTTATCCCTGTACTGATAACATAGAGCCGCATCCAGGAAAACATTCTCCTAAGTCTTAATATCTACTGGAGCAAGCCTCTCCTTCCTCAACTTCTTTAGAAATGTTTTAGCTACTATCAGCTCTCTATTCTCTCATGTACGTTTTATAATCAACTTGTCAAATTCCATGGGAAGTGTTTATTAGTATTTTAATGAGTGTCCCTAAGTCTATAGATCAATTTGGGGAGAATTAACATATTTTTTAATAAAATAATTTTTTATTGGTGTTCAATTTACCAACATACAGAATAACACCCAGTGCTCATCCCGTCAACTGTCCCCCTCATATTTATGACAGTCTATCTATCTTCCATTTATTTATATCTTCTTTAACATTTTGTGGAGATTTAAAAGTTTTCTCTTTATATTTCTCTCATATTTTGTGTGAGATTTATTTTCAGGTATTAACAGCTTTTTTCTTTTTTCTTAGAATACAGTTTTTAAATTGAGGCACAAGTTACATACAAGAAGAATACCTATGTTACATGTATATAGGTCAGTGACATTTGACCCATGGTGTACACTTGTGTGACCACTACCGCAATCAAGATCTAGAGCATTCTTATCACCCCAAAAAGTCCCTTGTGCCTGCTAGCAGTCAATTCCCAAGCTATTAGCAATTACTAAATTGTTTGTTGTTACTAATAGAATACTTTTGCCTTTTTTAAAGAACTTTATATAAATGGAATCATAAAGTATTCATTTATATGGGCTGATTTTTAAAAATTCATTTATTTTACTTAAATTTTACTTAGTTAACATACAGTGCAACATTGGTTTCTGGAGTAGAATACAGTGATTCATCACTTCCATACAATACTCAGTGCTCATTGCAACAAGTGCCCTCCTTAATCCCTATCACCTTCTAGCCCATCTCCCACCCACCTCCCTCCATCAACCCTCAGTTTGTTCTGTATCCTTAAAAGTCACTTAAATGGCTTGTTTGCCTCTCTCCTTTTTTTCTTTTCCCCTTTTTCCCTTTGCCTTCCCCCTTCCGTCTGGTTTCTGTCTTAAATTAAGTGAGATCATATGTTATTTGCCTTTCTCTGACTGACTTACTTCACTTAGCATAATACACACTAGTGCCACCAACATCATGGCCAATGGCAAGATTTCATTTTTTGATGTCTGAGTAATATTCTTTTTATTTTTCTATATCTATATCACTTCTTCTTTATCTATCCATCAGTTGATGGACACTAGGGCTCTTTCTATAGTTTGGTTATTGTAGATAATGCTGCTATAAACATCAGGGTACTTGTAACCCGTTGAATCTGTATTTTTGATCCTTTGGGTAAATACTTAGTAGTGCAATTGCTGGATCATAGGGTAGTTCTATTTTTAATTTTTTGAGGAATCTCCATACTGTTCTCCAGAGTGGTTGTACCAGTTTGCATTCCCACCAACAGTGCAAGAAGATTCCCCTTTCTCCACATTCTCACCAACACCTGTCCTGTGTTGTTAATTTTGGCCATTCTGACAGATGTGTGGTATCTCCTTGTGGTTTTGATTTGTATTTCCCTGATGACAAGTGATGTTGAGCATCTTTTCATGTGTCTGTTACCCAACTGAATGCTTCTTTGGAAAAGTGTCTGTTCATGTCTTCTGCCCATTTCTTAACTGGATTATTTGTTTTTGGGATGTTGAGTTTGGTAAGTTCTTTATAGACTTTGGATACTAACCCTTTATCAGATATGCCATTTGCCATTATCTTCTCCCATTCTCTAGGCTAGCTTTTAGTTTTGTTGATTCCTTTGTTGTACAGAAACTTTTTATCTTGATGAAGTCCCAATAGTTCATTTTTTCTTTTGTTTCCCTTCCTGGTGACATGTCTAATAAGAAGTTGTTATGGCCAAGTCAAAGAGGTTTCTGCTTGTGTTCTTTTCTAGGATTTTGATGGTTTCCTGTCTCATATTGAGGTCTTTCATCCATTTTGGAAATTCGTTCCTGCTTTGTCAAAGATTGGTTAACCGTAGGGTTGAGGGTCCGTTTCTGGGCTCTCTATTCTGTTCCATTGATCTATGTGTCTGTTTTTGTGCCAGTACCATACAGCCTTGATGACTACAGCTTTCTAGTATAGCTTCTAATCTGGAATTATGTCTCCAGTTTTTTTTTTCTTTTTCAGGTTACTTTGTCTATGTACAGTGTTTCATGGGTTCATACAAATTTTAGGATTGTTTGTTCTAGCTCTGTGACAAATGCTGTTGGTATTTTGATAGGGAATGTATTAAGTATGTAGATTGCTTGGATAAAATAGACATTTTAACAATGTTCTTCTAATCCATGAGCATGGAATGCTGTTTACATTTCTGTGTGTCCTCTTCAATTTCTTTCCTAAGTGTCCTAGAATTTTCAGAGTACAGATCCCCCCACCTTTAGTTAGGTTTATTCCTAGGTATCTTATTTTTGGTACAATTGTAAATGGGGAGCAGCCCCAGTGGCTCAGCAGTTTAGCACGGCCTTCAGCTCAGGGCATGATCCTGGAGATCCAGGATCGAGTCCCATGTCCCACTCCCTGCATGGAAACTGCTTCTCCCTCTGCCTGTGTCTCTGCCTCTCTCTCTCTCTCTCTCTCTCTGTCTCTCATGAATAAATAAATAAAATTTAAAAAATTGTAAATGGGATTGATTCCTTGATTTATTTTTCTGCTCCTGCATTATTGGTATATAGAAATGCAAATTTTCTGGACGTTGATTTTATATCCTGCAACTTTGCTGAATTCATGTATGAGTTCTAGTAATTTTTTGGTGGCGTCTTTCATGTTTTCTACTTATTGTATCATGTCATCTGCAAATAGTGAAAGTTTGACCTTGTCCTTGCTAATTTGGATGCCTTTTATAACTTTTTGTTGTCTGATTTCTGAGGCTAAGACTTCCAGTACTATGTTAAATAATAATGGTGAGAATAGACATCCTTGTCTTGTTCTTGACCATAGGGGAAAGGTTGTCCATTTTTCTTCATTGAGGATGATATTAGCTTGTGGGTATTTCAGTTATGGCCTGTATGATGCTGAGGTCTATTCCATCTATCCCTACTTTGTTAAGGGTTTTTATCAGGAAAAGATTCTGTATTTGATCAAATGCTTTTTCTGCATCTACCAAGATCATATGGCTTCTATTCTTTGTTTTATTAACGTTGTGTATCATGTTGATTGATTTGTGATTATTGAACCACCCTGCAACTCAGGAATAAATGCCAGTTGATCATGGTGAATAGTTATTTTAATGTACTGTAGAATTTGATCTGCTAGTATTTTATTGATAATTTTTGCATCCATGTTCATCAGGGACACTGGCCTGTAATTCTCCTTTTGAGTGAGGTATTTGTCTGGTTTTGGAATGCTGGCTTTGTAGAATGAGTTCAAACGTTTTCTTTCCATTT